GACGCAACAACCATTACGTTCCATATCTCATCGTGGGAGTAACGGCAAAAACCCTAGCGGTTTTCTCAGGAGGGGTTGCGCCATAGACTTGAAGAACACAAAACCCTCAATTATTAGCATATTCGTATTCGACTATACTAATGGAATAAGGTTAGATTTATTTTGCTTTATTTTTATCTCAATTATGACAACACGGTAGATCCTGTGCTTAGGGTTAAATTCCTGATAAGTTCCAACATGTTACTCTTCGGGCCCCACAATAATAGTGTTAAGACTAAAATTAATTATAAAAACACCTTATTATTTAACATAATCTTATTTATGAATATTTACAAAAAATACATTTCTAAAATGAGGTTTTTCTATTTAGAAATTTATATATAATACATCATATGCAAGTTCACTCACTCAGTCCGTCTTTCTATATCCCGAGACATCTCCTATCTCGAGGTGTCATGTATACCATAACTAAATATTTTTATTAAAAGTAGTATAGAATTAAATATATTTTAAGAACTAACATAAAATATGACATGTCATATTATAAAATGAAGCCTAATATCCGTTCAAAAAATAAGTGTCATACCATGCCAATAGTGAAATAATGCAACAATGGTATCGAACTCGACAAGTTATGCACATATATATATTTGTCAAAATGAGCAGCCGAAATAACCTTAACTCCATAATAACAAGCTCATTATATTTGTCTAAGTGAGTAGCCGAATAACCTCGGCCCCATAAAAATAGGCTCACTAGACTATTATTAATAAATAGCCGGAAGACCCTCGGCTAAAAAAAAGACCTGATAAACCCATAATAATATAACGGTCATCCGGTCACTTTCATATACCCACTATACGACTACCACAATCAATACATGGATAGCCGATATTGTCGCTATTAACCACAAGACGCTTATAGTCTATGATAGTGAAGATAGCATCCTCTTGTCAAGTCCTATCTCGTGTAATATAGTAGAATTCATGCAACCTGAAATCACTCAAGAAAAACCTGAAAACTCTACTCCTCCCCGTGCGCATTAATGAGATCACGTTTGAAGTTTGACATATGATTCTAAACTATTGGTAAACCTCACCAATGATCAATCCAATGAGTGGAATAACACCTAACACGAATGATCAGACCAAATACGTCTCAACTACAATGGGTATAATACCTGAATAATCGTGCGACTAAGTCATTCAGTTGTCCGATTACTATCGTCCACTATCGCCAAAGTGTTACGGTACATCTGGGTCGAATATCCTAACTCCAGATAATGTTCTCTCCTAGCTCTACCTCACAAGACGACTAAATGATAGATCCATAAAATATATCTGATAACATGTGCAATATGTGTGCAACATGTCAAATAAGTAAATTTATCGGAAAAGGCTTGTGAGACAGCTCACCTCTCATTCTTTTCAGAAATTCACCAATGCGATTAAATGTGTATATCAAATATCATAAAATATGACGTCTCATACATGCATACGTACACACATATATAAATATATACATGCACTGAAAACATTATCCACATAATAGCACATTAATATTATAATTGTAATCGCATGCAAATGCATACTTAATTTCTTAAAATTAGATTTAATTCTCTATTGTTTTACCTCTTTATCGATACTCTTGGCTTTTGCAATTTCACCCAAATTCACTCATCGTACACTTGCTTCATTATTTACTCAAATAAGATGAACTATATGTTTATTCATATGAGCTATCTGTTTATTCAAAAGTTAATTGTTATAACTAGTTTGTTGGATCTCAAACTTTTTTATTTGGTAAAATACTATATTGTAACTATAAAACTCTTATATCTCATAATATTCATATTGTTCAATTATTAAATAAAAATTCTCAAAAGATATGAATAAACATGCATATATTGCACTGCAATTTCCAATTTCGCTTGAATCGATACAACATTCTCATAATATTACGTTAGGGCTACGAAAAGTTATTAGTTAAAAAAATTCGTCGATTAAATAGTTAAATAGTGAATTATAAATTTCAAAGAATTTTAAATTTAATTTCTCCATATCCAAATGTATATTAAAAATAATAACTAAATTCTACTAATAGTAAAAATTACAATAACAAAGATGTATAATTGAAATCAAATAGCTAATTTTAAAATTTTTTTCTAATCTTTCTTTCTTTCTCGTGGCCTGAACGACAGTGTTTGCTTCAAAGGTAAGGTATTTACTATATATACATATATATATATAAATATTAGTAATAACAGTGATCATTCTTACCTTTCATTTATATTATTATATTGTTATTATACAAAGTATTATATTTTATATGTTATATTTATATTTATTTTTATCTTTATTTTTATCGATATTTGTTCTTTTAAGAATCTTTTTAATCATAAGCAATATACAAAATAGAAATATAATTTATTTTAAAATATTAATTTCTTAATCTTATTAATATTATTAAAATATTTTATTGATATAATAATATTATTTTATACCTTTTGAAATCGGAGCATCACAGCTACTCTCCAAATCTTGAAAAAGTAAAAAATAATTAGATTAGCACGATTTCATAAATTATTATCCAAATTTAACTAAAGAAACAATAATTCAATAAATCAAATTCAGTATATCGATTGAGAATTTTGCAATTTCAATTTTATCATCCAGATTTTACTTGTGTGTTTGGACAATTTTGATTACGTCATCAGGTATCCGCAAAGGATATGAAATATTTAAAACTTCAATTTCTTGGATGTTTCTGTTAATTTTTTTTTTTAGGGATTAATAGAGGTTGAAATAATGATAAATATTTAAAACTATTCTTTTCTACTTTTTTTGAACAAGCTGGAACTACCAGAAGAGGAAAGAAAAAAAGATCGGCTAGATAAAGGTCATGTATCCCAAGCAGATATCAGAACTCATGTTTATATATAAGCTTTTATAATATTTTTGTGTTATTCATCACATTAATTAATTTTTAAAAAAATATTATATATTAAATATTAAATTTTTAATTTTTAATTACAAAAACCTCTAAGATGTGTTTGTTTGATGTTTAAGTATTGAGTTTGAAATTTAAATAATAAATTGTAAAATGATTAGTTATTTGATGTTATATAAACAAATATTGTTTGGATTGAATATATTTACTTTATAATATAATATAAAAATTAAGTAACAAATAATTGAATTGATATTTTTACATTAAAAATTATAAATAATAGTAAAAAATATGTAAAAAAAACCCAAACAAACACAGACCTACTAATTCACTTTTTTGTAAATTAATTAATCCATAAAACTAAAATGATTTAAAAGATAGAGTTTGTTTGTCAAATAAAAAATTTTATGACTTAATTTCTAATATATATCTCTAATACTATATCTTTAAAAAAAATAATTAATATTAAATATAAAATATTACTCTCCGCCCAAACACTCTATAATATTTTTTTTTATCCCAAACTCACTGCAGCATTTTTAAATTTAGAAATAAATAATAATATTTTTATACATATATTAATATACACTTCACTTTATCCCATCACATCACTCAAATAAAAAAAACAAATAATCATTTCTCTCTCCAATCACATCACTTAATATCTAAATTATTTCAAATTACCATACCTTATACTCCCCACCTAAATTCTCGTGTCAAACACAAATGTTAGCATGGTGTTTGAGACGGATGGAGTATTTTATATAATTAGATGTTACTCTGTTTACTTGTAAGATTTTAGTCATAATTTTATTATTTCAAATTTCTTTTTTCACCAAAAATATCAAATCAAACACTCAATTTTTATTTATTTCATTTCTTTTAAATGTAATTTTACATTTAAAACATCACATTAAATACATATTTATATTACATCAAACAACTATTTCAATTCAAAATTTTACTATTCAAAATCAAAATCCAAAACTAAAATATCATAAGAAAACACAGACAATTTTTCATAAATCATATAAAAAAATATTTCAAATTAAAAGAAACAAATAAATTCATAATATAAAGAGGTAGGAACAAGGAACAGACATCAACATAATTCTCTCTGTCCCAAACATCGTGCAATATTTTTTTTTTGGTACGTCCCAAACACCCTGCAATATTTTTAAATTATAAAATAATTAATTATATTTAATTTATATCCCACACTTTATCCCATCACATCACCCTAATAAAAAATATATATATAGTTCTATCTCCATCACATCACCTAATTACTCAATTATCCTACTTAATACTTCTCACCTAAAATCTCGTGCCCAACTTAGATGTAGCACCTTGTTTGGGACCTTCTTTGGGACGGAGGAAATACTATATAAATAAATAACAATAATTGTATCAGATAAGCGATGATCTGATGACATTGAGTTAAATTTGTGATAGTTTCATCTCTTTTTACTAAAAAGTACATGTTTTTTATTTAAAAAAATTATATTTATATTTATTTTATATATAAATTAAAATAATAAAAATGTCAAATCGTCTTACATATTTATATTAATTAATAAAATATTATTATTTTTTAATTTATATAAAACTCAAAAACCCTCTCAATTAAGAAGTATTTATTTAATAAAATATATATATTTTTAATTCCGGTACAAGAACCAAATAAATTAATTTTATCCGAAGAGAGAGTATTTATTAAAAAACTCGACCAACCTTTTGAAATAATTAAATGAAAGATAATCCACACACTATCTAATATCTATGCACAAATAAGAATAGAGCAAAAAAATATATATATATAATATATACACGTAAAGGGGCCCACATAATTTCAGCTATTTGTCCATTCTTTCATACACAACTAACTCTGCTTGCTAGGGTCACAGGAGTGCCGTTAACTGTTACTCACTGTGACCGTCAGATTATTCCTAACTCCACTACTTTGAATAATCGGACGGTCCTTGTACGACGCAAAGTCACAGCCCCGTCAGGTTAGGAAAGTCCTCTGGACATTCATGGAACCCAGACGCCTTTCTCTCTCTGCATTTCCTCGTTTGAATACAGAACAATTTTAAAGAAAAGCTTAAGATGGCTTTTCAATATTAATGAAGTAATTATGCAGAAACTTCTGTTGAAGGAATTTGAGATTTGTGGAGAATGCTGGATGAGTAATATCTCTCTCTTTTTTTCTTTTTTTTTTGCCTGTAATTTATTTATTATTTTGGAATTCCATTTGTTTTGTTGTTTTTCGATTTTGTTGCCTTAGCTTGTGTGATTTGCTATCGGATCTGATTAGCTCTGGAATCAGTCTGTGATGGAATGAAATTGTGTTTTTGCAGCTGACTGATATCAAAAACTGATTTGCAGTTGGATTTTTATGTTTTTTCAATTTTTGGCTTGAGTTTGCCTATTTGCAAAGTGTATTACTTTGATTAGGTCAAGTGACTGGTGTTGGATTTCTTTGGATCTATTGGCAGTGTTTAATGAGAAAGTTTAGAAATGATTTGAATTGGTAGTACGTGAGTTTAATAGTATTGAATTATGATGATTATTTCTTGTGTGTGTTTCATTTTCTTGAAATGAATATGATAATTATCTATTTTATTTAATTCATCAGCTACCATTAATTTTGCTTCACTTGTGACCTCTGTCCATTATAACAAACCCCGACGCCTCATTTCACCTGACACACATCACATTTGACACACATCACATTGTTCACACATTGATCGCCTAATGTGTCTCGTCTGTCGGGCCTAATTTACAGGGTATTAGGTTCGGACCCGGTGCGCACTCTTGAGTAGCGGCTGCGGGTTCCTACGTCATATAAAATAATAATAATAAATAGTAAATTGGCTTGTATTTATTTGGAACATTGAGATTAGTTTTTGGAGTTTCCATTACAACATTTTGGTTTTTTGTGTGATGCACAAGGCTTTTCTGATATGAAATTTCTTATTATGTAAGTTAGGCGAGTTATAACATTTTGATCATATTGCTTGTTGAATGCAACGCAGTTTTATGAACTAACTTCTGTTGGTTTATGGTTAAAAAATGCCTTGGTATCTATCCACAACTTTTGTAGGAAATTGTATTCTTTTGTATTTTTGTTTTAGTTTTATTTATTTATTTATATTTGTGGAGTTTTTAGGGGAAAATAGTTATTTGGTGTGATGATTTGTATGAACAATAGGTGTTGGATATGGTGCATTTGGGAAAAAAAAAGAAAAAATAAAAAAGGAATGAATAGTAAAAAAATGGGTTTGAAAACACAAGGGTGTGTTTCATTGGGTTTGATCTGGTAAGATTTGATTTGAGTTTGTATTTAAATAATATTTGATGTAATATTTGCAAGAGGGAAAAATGTCTTCTTGTTTTTTTTAACGCAGAATTCAAATAGTAAAAATTTTTGCAAAATAAAATGCTAAATTTTGGCTTGATTTAGTTGTTTACGTCATGGTTATAGATTAATTTTTTTGTGCCATATGATTTCTTCAATTTGGTTAAGTTGTTTAGTTGGGATAAAGAATTTAATTGTTATTAATTCGTATATTACCTTAAATTTTCTGGCACATATATATTGAGCCAACCTTCGAATCTATGCTTCAGTTGAGTTGCTCGTGTAGTAGAACAAAAAGGGCTACAAAGATTGGGTGAATATGGAACTTTGTAATTGCATTGAGCCACTGTGGCCGGCGGACGAGTTGTTGATGAAGTACCAGTACATATCGGACTTTTTCATTGCTTTGGCTTACTTTTCGATCCCTTTGGAGTTAATTTACTTTGTTAAGAAGTCGGCAGTGTTTCCTTATAGATGGGTTCTTGTTCAATTTGGTGCATTCATTGTCCTCTGCGGGGCAACCCATTTAATTAATTTATGGACATTTTCGATGCACACGAGGACTGTTGCAGTTGTGATGACGACTGCCAAGATTTTGACTGCTGTAGTATCTTGTGCAACAGCGCTTATGCTGGTACATATTATTCCTGATCTATTAAGTGTAAAAACAAGGGAGTTATTCTTGAGAAATAAGGCTGCCGAGCTGGATAGAGAAGTGGGATTGATTCGTACACAGGAAGAGACCGGTAGGCATGTCAGAATGCTGACTCATGAAATCAGGAGCACTCTCGATAGGCACACCATTCTAAAAACTACCCTTGTTGAACTCGGGAGGACGTTAGGCTTAGAAGAGTGTGCGTTGTGGATGCCGACTAGGACTGGATTGGAGCTGCAACTTTCCTACACTCTTCGCCACCCGAATCCAGTTGAATTCACTGTACCTATACAGCTTCCTGTAATCAATCAGGTTTTCAGCACTAGCCATGTGGTAAAGATCTCTCCAAATGCACCTATTGCCCGACTTCGACCCACTGGAAAATACATGCCAGGGGACGTCGTTGCTGTTCGTGTGCCGCTTTTGCATCTCTCTAATTTTCAGATTCATGATTGGCCCGAGCTCTCAACTAAACGTTATGCATTGATGGTTTTGATGCTCCCTTCGGACAGTGCAAGACAGTGGCACGTACATGAGCTTGAACTGGTTGAAGTGGTGGCAGATCAGGTTTAAATCCATTTTATTAACTTGCAGATTTTAATCTCTAATTTTATGCATCATTACCATTAACTTCACCATAATATCCAACTTGGCACCAACTGTGGTAGTTGTCTGACATTCCCAAGAATCAATTTTGAAATATATATTGCCCAAAAGTGATTGAGTTGTTTGGATGTGTTTTTGGATTTGAATGGTAATAAATAGTGATTCTTTTATGAAATATACATAATCTTGTATATTTATATTATTTGATATGAAGAATCATAGAATGATTAGATGATGTGATTCACTATAAGATTGATGATTTGTTTTAGGTTCTAATGTGTAAGGTTTGGATTTATAAGTTAATGAAATCTACGTACAGGATCAAAATAAGTTATTTCATTATTTATACCTAAGTAAGAAAAAATAAAATAAAATAATTTATTTTGTGAAAGTTGGGTGGGTTGATTTCGTTTGTAAAAACTATGTCCAAATAACGTATATTATGTGTAATAGATTTATTAAGTGGTTTTTACAAGAGCAAGGAACTAAGAAAGCTTTAATGCCCCACAAAAATTATGAAGCTATTGCACGAATATGATTCTTTCCTGAAATTTTCATAGAACTATTTCAACATTTTCTAAACTTTTACTGAATGATGGGTAACATTTATTTAAATTCCATATATATTAGATTGCCTTAATATCAATGTTTATCATGTTAAAATCATAATAGTATTGTTCTAGATCTACTAATCTGATGAGTCATTGCAGGATTGTGATTAATGCCCAGTCTTTTTTCATAAATCTCTTCATCTTTTCTATGGATTGACGGATATATAAACTTGAATCTGCTCTCATTTTTATAATTCAGGTAGCCGTTGCTCTTTCACATGCTGCAATTCTTGAGGAGTCAATGAGGGCAAGGGATCTCCTCATGGAACAAAATGTTGCCCTTGATCTAGCAAGACGAGAGGCAGAAACAGCCGTTCGAGCTCGTAATGATTTCTTAGCTGTCATGAATCATGAAATGAGAACCCCAATGCATGCAATAATTGCTCTGTCGTCATTATTACAAGAAACTGATCTGACGCCGGAGCAACGTATTATGGTTGAAACCATACTCAAAAGTAGCAACCTTTTGGCAACTCTTATCAACGATGTCTTGGACCTTTCTAGGCTTGAAGATGGTAGCCTTCAACTTGAAGCCGAAACTTTTAACCTTCATTCCCTTCTAAGAGAGGTACGAATCTGCATGCGCACCTTTTACTATATAATTAAAACAAGAAGGTTTTGTTCATACAAATGTTTATTTCCAAAGGATACTACATTTGTGTCGTATTTTTATATGATATATCCTAATAATGCTAATCTTCTTTCTTCTTACTTTTTAAACTATCTTATTCTTAGCTTTTCCTTAATATATTTTGTGTGTTTCACTGCTTTCCATAGGCAAACTCTGTATACTAGATATGACCTCAATAATTTTGTAAATTGTGAAGAAAATTTAACTTTGATCTCCATTTCCCTTTTGTAACTATTCTAACTCTCATCTTCAATAAAAATACATTATTTTTTTAAAAAAATATCACACCACATATTATTTAATCAAAGATTAAGGGCGTGTTTGGAGATAGTTGTTAGCTAATTTAATTAGTGATAGTTGTTAGTTGATTCAATTAGCTAGTTTGACTAGCTGATTCAATAACTGTTTGTATCAAAATGTTTGGTAAAACAATGATATTAGTTGTTTATACGTAAAATGACGAGGACATTTCAATTATGTTTGAGTTTAGAATGTTTGAAATTTTTTTTGTTATTAGTTATTGAAAATTGTAAAAATGTTATAAAAATATTTATTTTTATTATATTTAGATTTAAAAAATAATATTTTTTTATTAAAATATATAAATAGTTTTTTCTATTGAAAATGTTGTAAAATATAAAATAATAAATTTTTCGTGTATATATTTATTATGTTAGTTATGGATTAGTTCATTATATTTATAATTTTCAATAAATTTAATTTATTTAATTTATTTTTAGCATAAAATTTATATAATGTAATTTTAAAATAAAAATAAATTATTAATATTTATATTTTCTATTTTATGTTGATTTTAATAAATTTATATATTTTACAATTAAAATAATTTATATATAAAAATTAATTGTTTTAAATTTATAAAAGTAAAATTATAATATAATAAAATATTTTAATATAATTAATAAATAATCAAAATATATTTATTTGTGTAAAATGCATAATAAATTTTTAAGGGGATATAAAGAATAAAAAAAATTTTCAGAAAAAATTATTTCAAAACCCGGGTAAGTTAGTTTTTCAGAAATTAGTCCAAAAAACTATTTTACCAAACACTAGCTTTTTGACCGGTCAAACAAAAGTTGTTCAATAAGCTAAAAACTCTTTAAAAAGCTATTTGTCAAATACCTTCTAAATCCAAATTTTATCCAGAAAAATAAAAAAGTCAGTGAACACTAGACTTTTGAAACCTATTATCATATGGTGTGTTCACTGTTTTTTTTTTTTTTGTGAGCGTGTATTTTATGATGGGTAGGAAATAGTATGAATATATTATATATATATTGTGTGAGGATCTGGCTTACTCCAGTAAAATATAAATAAATAAATAATGCGTATCTCTACAAGTTTAAATTTTAGGTAAGACGGTTATTTAATATTATTTTACAGTATCAAAGCCGGAAAATTCCATATTCGAGTTCCACCGTCCCTATTCGTCTTCGTTCACGTGCAAGATTCGCATGTGACATGTATATTCCAAATTTAGGATGCATCCGTCAAGTGCGTTTAAATTACTATTAATTGTTTTGTTAGTATTGTTGGATCTTGTCTAATTAACCTTTCTTTGTCCAAATTGTAGGCTCTTACATTGATAAAACCCATAGCTTCTGTAAAGAAGCTATATGTTACATTGAGTTTGTCTCCCGATTTACCAGAGTACGCCGTTGGTGATGAAAAGCGGCTAATGCAAATTCTTCTCAATGTTGTTGGAAATGCTGTAAAGTTCACCAGAGAAGGCGGCGCCTCAATAACTGCTCATGTAGCTAAGCCGGACTCTTTGAGAGATCCTCGAGCTCTCGATTTTTTCCCAATACTGAGTGATAATCACTTTTATTTACGCATAGAGGTATTTTTTACTAGATTTTCCTAAGAAGTTCAATAATGGTTAATATGGCTCCTCTAGTATGGCATAGTAACTTTTAAAAATGGTCACCTGAGGTTAGGTTCAATCTCCATTGTTGCATTAGTGTATGTCCTGAGTGATGCTATTATTTGAACGTAAAAAAAAACTATGCACTCGTTAGCGTAGTAATAATTGTTGTTCTATTTGTATGTTAGGTAAGAGATACTGGTGTAGGAATCAACCCGCCGGATATTGCAAAGATATTTATGAAATTTGTGCATAGCCAGCCGCTAGCTGCGAAAAATTCCGGTGGGAGTGGTCTTGGTCTTGCAATTTGTAAAAGGTAACATTTTATACTTTATTCTAGTATTAAATTATTCACTTACGAATATTTTGATAACTTTTTGCTCTTTTTTATGGCCAGATTTGTAAATCTTATGGGAGGGCAGATTTGGATTGACAGCGAAGGTCTTGGCAGGGGTTCCACGGCTATATTTATTGTTAAACTCGGAATCCCTAGTAGGTCAAATGAGCCAAAGCTTGCATTTGTCCATAAAGGTTCGGGTAATCTTGTTAACCCAAATCTTTCCGGGCTGAAAGTGGTTGTTTTGGATGAAAACAGGTTAGTAATATCATCTCTGTTTTCATCATATGGAGATGAAGTTTAGGGTCGATACTCATATTCGAAATTGGTTAGCTGGTATATAAAATTTATCCAAAGAAGTGTAGCGAGGGAATCGAACACTGCCGAATGATCTGAATTAGTTTTGTCCCCATGCTTCACAAATTGGCAACTGAATGTCACACCTTTAGAATGGTCTTCTGATCTTGTCAATTTGGCAAATGTTAAATTAACCATCTCACCTAAAATTTTAAGTTCGAAGGGATACGTACATTAATTATTATAGTCAACCAACACATCCTCTCACGTACAAAGTATGAATATTACACGTAGACGATGACGAATGGTGGGACTCGAATATGGGACGTTCTGCCTCTGATACCACTGAGTTCTAGTCCCACCCTCATTTGTCATTGTTCAAGATATATGTGGCGTAAATCCACTTTGATTGTGAGAGGATGTGTTGGTTGACTATATAATAATTAAGGATTCGTATCTCTTCACAGTTAGGTTTTTAAGTAAGACAATCATTTAATAACTGAGATTAAAAATTATGTTCTGTTTCTTTCATCGTCTTAATTTTAATGTTATGTTTTTATGATATATACAGTGTTGGTCGTATGGTAACAAAGGGCCTCCTTTCGCACCTCGGATGTGATGTATTGGCAGTTGCTCATGGTGACGAGTGCGTCCGAGCAGTCACCCACGAGCACAGAGTGGTGTTCCTCGATGTAAGCATCCCCGACATCGATACTTTTGAAGTTGCTGTACGTATAGGCCAGAAATTCTTAAATCGGGACAAGCCCATAATCATCGCCCTAACCGGGAATACTGACAGAGCGACAAAAGACAATTGCTTGAGGGTGGGTATGGATGCAGTGATACTAAAGCCGATTTCATTGGATAAAATGAGAAGCATTCTATCCGATATATCCGAGCATGGATTTCTCGCGCAATCTCAATAAACCGAATCGAATTTTAAAGACGGAGAAGCGTCTGGCTGCCGGCAATAAGGTGAATAATAATCTCTGTAGTATAGCATACATTTAGATCAAAATCATAGGGTGAAGTCTAGAGCTGTAGGAAAGTAGTTATTTCGTTAAGCAGGGGGGAGAGAGAGAAGGGAGAAAGGTGTTTGAATTAACTTTATTGTAATGACACTTTTAAATTTAAAAAGTTTGATCTGTGCTTTAGTAAGAAGGATTGGTGTTAAAAATGGATGAACTCGTCGAGGTGAATTTTTTTTAAAATGATTCACCCAACCTTAATTCCGCTATTATCGTGCGGGATTCATGTTAATTTGTATATATAGTTGTTTCCAATTTTACTCAAATTTAATTATTTTGTGTTGGGTTATTATCTTAAATTAAAATTATTTTACATATATAATAAATTTATTAATAATATTAATATATTTTAATTGGATTGTCGTATCTGTTCGAGTTGTTCAATCATAAATCTACGTTTATAATTGTCGAGTTGGTGATGATCCGTACATACAATTGTTGAAAATTTTATCCAAATTTAATTATTGCATATTGGATTCGTATTTGTTTGTCCCGTCAAATTAATTTTTATCAGCTGTGCAACAATTTGTTCTTAAAAAGAAAATAAGAGTTAATTTGTTTTATAAAATTTGATTATATATATGTATCAGTGTAGGAGGGCGTTTCTGGAGTGATGGGCCCGAGTAAAATCAAAATTAGTGTATTGTACAATTATTTTTTAATTAAAAAAAAATACAGTATAAAATTTAAATATATCAATTTTTCCTAATATTTTTAAATATAAAATTATATATAGATTTTTATTTTTTTTCAATACACAATATAGTTAAATAAATTGTTCTTGAGACATACACGATATTAGAGAGATTTTTAAAAACTTTAGCAATAATGATTAGTTAAATATTAGAGAGTATATTATTAAAATAAAATATTTTTAAAAAATACTATAATATTATTTTTTAAAAATAGTACAATATATATTTATGATGAAGAAAGATTGGTGCTTTATTAGTAGTTTAACTTTAGATTATTTTTTTTGAAGTAGTTTCCCCTTCAATTCATAGAGAAAACTTTTATTTATAATTTCATTACCACCCTCAACAAGATGAACTAAATCCTCTTCGATTCAAAATAACTGAGAACAAAATTGTGCAAGAATATGTTGCACAACACCCAAAATGAAAAACAAATATATATATATATTCGAATTTGTTCTTTTACTATTTCAAATGTAAATAATACTATTCGTTCTATACAATTTTTCAATTAAAAAAATATATATTTTTTTACAAAATCTTATATCAAAATACTATTTAAATAAAAATTTAAATCAGCATTCTATTTCAATCACTACGAACAAAAATAAAAAAATAAAACTTATAATACAATTATCAAGGATTTCATGATGAAAAAGATGTATAATAAATACAAATTTTCATCAAACTGAGCACAAGACACCAATTTGTATTTGGTTTTACCTATTATAGAATTAAAGTGATTACGACAATTTTCTAATAAATTAAAAAAATAATAATAATAAAACTTATAATACAATTATTAAGGATTTCATAATGAAAAAGATGTATAATAAATACAAATTTTCATCAAACTGAGCACAAGACACCAATTTGTATTTGGTTTTACCTATTATAAAATCAAAGTGATTACGACAATTTTCCAATAAAAAAAAAAAAAAAATGATTACGACAATTAAGTGTAAACATGCAATTACTATTGTTGGAATTTAATATAGAATAAGTTTAAAACGAAACAAAAAATTATAAAAAGAGATTGATTTGTGTATTATGGAGAAATATCTCCAAACCTCATAATAAACCAAAATCTTGTTATTGATAAAAGGAATTCAAAGTCAACACATTATTAACACATTATTATACTTGTAATCATTATTATATTCTACAACAAAAATATAAATATAAATTTACGCTACAAGAATAGTTATGGAGGACAAAACTTCATCAGTATTTCGGTAAAATTTCAAAACACGAGCCTCCACAAGAATTTCTTTGACATGATCCTTGTTAAATTGAGAATAAGAGCATTTTATAGAAGAATTCTAAGAATTTTGCAAAGTTAGTGCTTCCGACAAAGGATATTTCTCAATTCATAATGCATAGGACAGATAAAATATTATAACTCTGGTATATACTATTATTTTCGAGTAATACTTCAAAATAAATAAATAAAACTTGAGGAACTTACATGCAAAAAGGGTCGAAGAATATTTTTCTAACATGCAAGTTGATGACTTGAGAGGACACTTAACTCCTCAAATTGACAAAGACCAAGACAATTAGCAAGTACATGCATAATTCATCAATTTGCATTAAGATAATACTTTAAAATAAAATAATTAAAGCTTAAAGGGGCTGACATGCAAAAAAAAAAAAAAAAAAAAAAAAAAAAAAAAAGAGAATTAGCATGAACAAACATAATTTTCCAATTTGTTTTATTTTTAGCACAATTAAAATTGAATTATAAATAAGTAAATTTCTAAAGGAATTATAAATTACAAGTGCAATTAATCTACAAAAATATATAATAATATGTGATTCATCAATATAAATACATTTTCAATACTTAGTTATATTCTAGAAATTAGAAGAGGATTAAAGAATAATAAAAAGATGTTAGTTGATAAGCATGTTGTTATGTTTTTACATACTTTAACTCATAATGCAAAGATTAAGATACTAGTTACTAGATTTCATCGATATGGAGAAATTGTAAATCGGTATTTCAAGTTAGTTAATATTTTATGTCAATTACACCAAAAATTCTACAAATTAATGCACTTGTGCCGGACCACATAATGAAATTTACGAGAGATGAAAATAATTTAAGGTTAGTCAAACCTTATTTTGGTCAACAATAATTTTTGATAAATGAATTTATTAAGTAATATTTTCTTTTTACGGAGGATTGTCTTGGAGTCTTATATGAAACATGTGTAAAAGTTAAAGTCCCTGCTATTGATTGAAAACTTTATCAAAGATGAAACGAGGAGATTTCTATCAATGTTCCCAAAGAATGTACGAGACAATTTTTATTTACGTATGTATTAGTGAAAAATGAGAGAATTTTAGTAAAGTTATATGAGATACAATTAGTAGACCTAATAGTTTTAAAATAACTCGGTGTATGTGGTCTATATATTAAACAATATGTATATGTAGAATCATATACTTAATTAATATAGAGGTTGATTAATTGTAGGAACAAACTAACATTGTGATGCCGCCTATATACATGGTGAAGGATTTTTAATTCCTTATCGATGACAATGTTATCCACTACAAGAAAAAATCATTTTTGTAACAAAATTTTTTTGTCTCTAAATCTATTTTTTCCGTTACTAATGACATTAGACACGGAATTAGTAATGAAATTACGTTAACTACGTGAACTTTAGGGACGGAATTCCGTTACAAATATATATATATTTTTGTAGTGATCATCTTAATGAATGGTCTTGTGCACCTATATATGTTAATTATTTATTCGATATGTCATTCATCGGCAAAATATGTTATAAAAAGATGTTTTGGATTAATTAAATTTAGATGGACTATTTTGCGGGAGAACTTATATCATCTTTATAAAGTACATATCACAAATCATATTTTCTAATTATTTGTTACACAATTGTCATAAAAACAGTAATGAATGAAGACCTCATTTATAACACGAAGTCCCACCAAATTACACACAATCTACATAGGATCATGACAATATTATTTCTATGGTTGAAACTTCACAAAAATAGACTAATCGTAGAGACATTCTAGTTAATGAAATATTTAACAATTGCAATACTAGGCATATATATCAAGATTTAGCTTATCTTAGAGATATTCTTATTATGTATTTTTCATGTATTTTGCATATTTTCATTTGTCATTTTGTCATGTACTTTTTTTTAACATAATGATACATTTTGGTTATTAATGTTACTTAGTATTTATGTGTATTTTTTTTTAATTAATTGTTGGTCGGTATTTTTATGAATATATATATATATATATATTATAGGTATGGAAAGAAGCAAATATACTCAAACAAATAAATAATATGCTAAGTTGATTGATGCATTCATGAATTTACATGCATTTGGAAAGTATGATAGTGTTTATAATATATTTAAACTAAGGTATTATTATGAAGTTCAACAATTGGTAGATATAATTTCCAATAAAATCGATGATTAGATTTTATCCAAAACAACGGTAATGGCTTCAGGCGACGGCGGCCCTCTCTCCTCCGGTGAACTAGCGAACTCCGGTCGCAAACATGCGGTGTGTTCTTCCTCGATTTCAGGCGGCACCATTCGATCAACTACAAGCTCTTTTGATATACACCAAAATAACCTCGAACAATGGCAGGTGCGGAAGGTCCTTTAGCAGCAGCACCTCCGGTTAACCAACAACAACGGGCATTGACATCTCTCCGGTGATTCATGAACAAATCTACAACAACAGAGGCAAACAACTGTGAACAGCTCTGGTCGTCATCTCCTATCTTCTTTTTTTTTCTTCCTTTCGTAAAAAGACAAAGTGTTTTTGGCTCAAAATCAAGGTGTACATGGCCCTTGGTAACCATATTTTATGGTAGAGTTCAATCGACACTCTAAACTTCGACACCTATCGGACATAACTAAAAAAGAATGAATTCAAATCCTCACTAGTATTACTTAAAAATATATATATATATATCATTGAAATCTCACCGAGAACACTCAAAATTTGCCAGAAACTCGCCGGAAACAGTTTCCACCCAAGAAATCGTTTCTTTGCCATACACTCTCTCCCTCTCCTCTCTCAACTATCTCCCACACGGCTAGACTACCCTCTATAAAGAGACTCTCACTCACTAACTCACATAGACATAGATAGATACACAAGGTTTACATCCTCAAAACTAATATTAATGTCAAACCAACACACGAATAGACACAAAAAAAAAAAAAAATTAAAGAAGGGTTAGGATAGGGTTGAAGGGGAAAAATGTTTGGATTAGGTCGGACCAGTGAGTGAACCAATCTATTATTATTATTTTTTTTTTATGACGTGAGAATCCGCAACCGCTGCTCGAAAGTGCGAACTGGATAAACCCCCGGCCGTACCTAATACCCTGCAAACTAGGTCCGACGGGCAAGTCACACTAGGGAGTGAACTAATCTATTTTGGTCGTATTGAGAGATGATGAGTTGAATTAGACCACAAAATGCGAGAATTTTCAACATTTCAAAAGAAAAATAACATACTTTTATTAAATGTATATATCTATATATTTTAGCATGATAAAATAATATTCCCTCTATCCCACATAATTTATTCACATTTTATATATTCGGTCGTTCTACCTAATTTATTTATTTTTATTTTTTTTAAAATAATTATACATTTTAATTGTATTTAAAATTTAAAATTTATAATTTTTTTAATAATAATTAAATTAATTAGTTGTCTTAATATTAATATATAATTATTTGTATTATATAATAATTATTTTTATTAATATTCTTCTTATTTATTTGATAAATTTTTTAAATATTTATTTGTTTTGTGAAATAATTAGAAGGAATTTTTTTTATTTGAGGTATATAAAATTGTGTAGATAATATAAAAATAATATATATATGTAATTTTTTTTTTCTGAAAATATGTGTTGATTTATTATTATTATTATTATTATTTGCAAAAAGAACATACAATTAATATATTTTTATTATATCAATCTAAACATAAATTATATAATTTTCAATAAAAAATATTATTATTTTTTATTATTTTCATATTTCTCATTTTCTAAAAGTAATCATATATAAAAACTAAAATGCTCATAATTTTTAATTTTAATAATGGTATCTATTTTTTTTCACCCATAAAAGTAAAAATAACAAAATTATTTTATCTATTTATATTAATCAATAAAATATTTTTTTATCTATATACCAAAAATATAGTAATACATATTTAGAAAAAAGGTATATATATTTTTAATCCATAACCACCATTTTCCATCTATGTATATAAATACCACTTATGGACCAATATATTTTTTACACCATTCTATTTTAATTAAAAGTTCATATTAGTAATCCTATAAAATTTTAATTCTACCTTTACATTAAATACTCCCATCATCCCAAACACTCTACGACATTTTCTTTTGCTATGTCTCAAATACCATGTAACATTTTCAAAATAGGAAATAATTAATTATATATAATCTCTGCCCCACACTTTTATCCCCTCGTATTATCCAAATAAAAAAATAAAATATATATTTCTCGCTCTATCACATCACTTAATTTCTAAATTATCATATTTAATACTACCAATCTAAAAACTCGTACCAAAAGTAAATGTTGCACTTTGTTTGGGACGGAGGGAATACTATTTTTGTTAATTTCGTATCAAAAAGTTTTAAACATTATTTTACAAAATGAAGAAGTATTATTTTTTAATCTATTATTTAAAAAAGAAACAAAAACAAAAATAAAAGCATATATTCAGTTTCCGAAGGAAAATTTTAATAAATTATTATTCAACTTATTACGTATTAATGATTTGTAATTCAATATCTAAATATACAATATAAATTTGCAATACGATAGTTGACAAAAGTCGATAACAATTTGTAGCGTCTTATACTATAATTTAACACATAGCTAAGCAATTCTTTTTTTGATAATTCAAAGCATGGCATATTCTTGTCCGAATTATGTATACATACAGAAGCATACATACATACAAACGTGAGTGTATACGACATGCATATATATATATATATATATAAATGCACAGTGCCTATAAATGGAGAACAAACAAAGGGAAGTGGAGAAAAGCCACTAGGCTACATTGCCATAACCCACCACCGTCAGCACCACTGCAACTCGTGATCATCGTCAAATTTTCCTTTTAAGACATTTTTGCACTCTTAAACCATCGCTGATTTTTGTGTAATTTTTCCGCTGAAAATGAGATTGGGGTGGGTTTTGGTGTGTAGGCGCTGAGGGAATCCAATTTGATAATAAATTAGAGATTATCCAGACCCGGGAATCGAGAGTAAAGGCACTTTCTTGATTCATCTCTACTCAGAGTGGAACAATTAGCTGTATTTTGGTTTAATTGCATTTAATTCGTAGGCAGGCTGTGTTTCTTCGATTTAGGGTTTTTTTTTTTTTTAACATTTGGGAGTTCTTTGTTTTTGATCCATGGCTGCTGCAGCGGCGCCTTCGTCTCCCAAAGAATCCGCTCTCCATAAGGATGAGAAACACGATGATCAAAATTCTGTGGCATCTGGGGAGAGTGAATTGTCCAATAGTGTTGTTAAAGAGTCTGGTCTGAATTCAGACGGGAATTTGACATCTGGGAAGAAAATGGAGGAATTTGTTGCTGATATGTTGAAGAAACTGAAGCTGAATCCCCAGGCGGAGGAGTTCTTTCCTTCTTATTATCATCAAGGCCAATTTGGGGCGTACAGTTTTGTGCCTGTTGATAAGGATTTTGGAAATGATGGTTTCCCCAATAATCGAAGGGTATATATTTGGACCTCTGAATTTTCTGTTGAGTTTGTTATGTAATGATTTCTCCTTTGCTTAATTAGTTGTGAATTGAATAGTTTTTATGTGTTGTTTAATGAAATTAGTTTTTAGTACATGTTGGTGTATGAGATAAGAGCAGCAGGACATTAGGGGGGCTTCAATCACTTAGCTCTGATTGATGTTGCAATTAAATGTATTTGCATTTGTAATTGTGATGCATTGTTTAGTTAGTTAACTGATAGGATTTAATGCTTTTGTAACTTTCAGAATCTGAGTGTCATATTTGATCGAAGAGTGTCGTTTTCTAATTATTATCTATCCACCAAGATGAATATTGTTTAAATTTTGCTATATGTCCCTTAGTATTCATTGTGTCACAAATTTGCTTTGCTTTGAATCTGACTTGATTTTTTGTTTTTACTTTTATCTCACTAACACAGTTGGCATATTCGATTTATATGAACTGAATCTTTTGAGGTTGTGGAACTGGTTCTTCCGCCATGTTTGGAGGTGCTTGATTGTCCAATTCTCTTTGTTGGAATAGCTATTAGCTCTAATCATTTTCATTAATATTAGTAATTCAAGGTTCGTCGTCTCAATATTGATGATTATGGGTTCAATTCTTATAATTATGTCAGTCGCATCACATTACTACTTTCTTTGTTTTGATGGCCATTTGAGTATTTCCATGCTACTATTTCTGGACCAGACCATTGTTGCTCTTTGTGTTTGTTACAGTTTCACGATTCATAATTGCCACATTTTTTGGGTATGCTCTTTGTCTGAAGGGGACTTTTCTCTCTCTCTCTCTCTCTCTCTCTTTTTCTCAGAGAAGAAATAACAATGGCATTGGTAAGAAGAGAATGGGTGGCAGAGGTTACAGAGCTCAAAGAGATGACAGTATTAGACGAACTGTCTATGTTTCTGACATTGATCACAATGTGAGTAATATTCTGTAAATTTCATGTTCTTCATAAAGTTTATTGGGATTGAAACTGATATGGATTGTCTTACTTGTCTTATAGATTACTGAGGAACAGCTTGCTGCCTTATTCAGTGGCTGCGGACTGGTACAGTTACTCTCATATCGTTATTAAAACTTAACACGTAGGATTTTATTGAGCGTAACTTGCATTCTGTTTATTCTTAGATGTTGTTGAAAGTTTGAAACTTTTCATTCTGTAAACATGAAAAACTGGTAATTATTATCTATTGTTGGTTGTTGACTGTTCTTTTAGATGAACTCGCTGGCATGATAAACCATGTAGTGATTCAAAAATTCCATGGCTAGTGTTGGAATGTAAGAACAATTACATGTCTGATTTTTGGTTTCTATGCAATGGTAGAAGACCCAAATTATAGAGTACCATATATAAGGAAATTTTGTTACAACACTATAAAGAATACATAATATAATGATCGTTGGAAACCTTGAGTCTATCTTGCTTTGAGTCATTCACAGTTTTACACGCCTTTAACTATTCATTTTAGCCAACAGGCCCAACACATAACCAATAACAATCTTTCCTATAGAGTCATTGATTTTAACACTTGTCGACACAGTTCTTCCCCAGTTTTTCTTATTTCATTTGTATTCAAATAAAACAGAAAGTTACCCATCAGCTTAAATGTTTACATAAAATTCATAACTTGAACTAAATCACTCATCAATTGTAATTTGAATTGTATTTTTGGGTTAGACTTGATTTATATAAGTAAATGCATAGCCATATACATCGAATATGTGTTGAAAGTTCCCAATCTGGGGCAGGATTTGTTCAACTGAATAAATACTTATGAATGTTTTTGTGTTGCTTTAAAGAAGTCTAGATACCAAGATAGAGTGACCAAGTTACTCTAAACAATTCCATTCCAGTTGGATTTTGTTTGCCAAGGATTTATTCCGAAGTTGCCCTCCTTCCGAAAAAATGTCATTTATATTGATTACATTGACAATCATATTAATCTTTTCAAGTGCTACCCTTATATTATTTTGACTTTGCAAATTTGAGACAGCTCATAACCTTAGAATTACTTCCAAGAGTTCCTTCAAATACTTAATATTGCTTACATAGTGCATACCACGTCAGCTTGTTCTTATCGACTATTGTCTTACCTCTATGGATTGTTTCCTTTACTTTCTAATGTATTGAAATCTTTCATTAAGATACACTCCATTTTCTTATTGTTTCGTGTGGCAACTTAGTGCCTTAGAAAGACCTCAAGTGTGAATTTACCGATCGATCCATCTATCCTCTACAATATCTATTATCAATCAGCAACCTTGGTATGAAAGTTATACATGAACATAATGCTTGGAACTTCCATTTAAATCTAGCTTCTATCAAAGGTCTGGAGAAACACCAATTTATGGGATATATAATTGTTCTATCTTTGCGTTTACACTGCACAAGTGTTGTGCAGCATCAAATTAAGCTTCCATTTTGCTTAGTTATAGCATACCTGGCCTGAAGCCATAAAATTGGAAATCATGATGATTGGCTACTTATTTTGCAGGTTGTTGATTGCCGAGTTTGTGGTGATCCAAACTCTCGTCATCGCTTTGCTTTTGTGGAATTTTCTGACGAGCGTAAGCCATCTTTTCTTTTACCCTCCGCCCGCATGTTTGATTTTTTTACACCATGACAGTGACACCATGTCTTACATCGTTGTTCGTGTTGACAGAATCTGCTAGAGCTGCACTTACATTTTCTGGGACTCTATTAGGTTTCTCTCCTCTGAAGGTCCTGCCTTCTAAAACTGCCATTCTTCCCGTGAATCCTACTTTCCTTCCCCGGGTAAATGTCACTCAGACACACTTTTTCCATTTGGTAATTCAAATGTGTATGTATATGTGCTTATGCACATTTCCTTTTATTTTAGATTTATGCATACATGCCAATTAAACTGATTGTCCGTGTGAAATGTATTTGGATGAGCAGTCAGAGGATGAACGAGAGATGTGCGCAAGGACTGTCTATTGTACAAACATTGATAAGATGGTACGCATTCCTCATTTGTTTGTCTGTACGATGTTTTTTGTACTATTGGAACATTGAATTTTAGGTACATTGCAAATTAGCCCCATGTGTGATACATGATGTTAAACCCTTTGAAGAAAGAAAAAGCTGCCAAAGGCCCCATCATGTTTCTAAAATAGGATGATTGACCTCACATGATCAGAGATTTCGATTGTGCTTTCGTTGGCTTTTAGGGGTAGTTATTTGGTGATTTTATTGGTGGTTGTTAAATCTTTAAAAATATCGGAATCCAAAGGTGGGTAATTTCCAATTTAGCCTTGACTATTAATAACCGATGAGTATGACATTAATGCTTATGATGCTCTTGTAGTCGGGGATGGTTGAAAAAGATTTCATTATCAAATGAAGTGATGTGCGAAATTGTAGTACATAGGAATAAATTGGTACGATACATTGAAAATACCATAGTATATTGTATAGTGTACCGAAATTTCAATATCTATAAATTCATTTTGTTATTAAATCAAAAAATTTTGGCATGACAATCATGCTGTATGGAAATTTTGGTACAGCGCTAGGGTAACTATGAAATTTTCAGTATCTGTAAATGCATTTTGATACCGTATTGAATTTCTGTATGACAACCATATCATATCTAAAATTTCACAATACCAAAATACCCATCAAAATTGGTATTTTAAACGAAATAAATATAGTAAACCATTATTTTCAATATTTATCCCTTCCTAGTACTACATATACTATCTGTAATGTGCATTGTGTTCTGAGCAGGTGTCTGAAGCTGAAGTCAAGAATTTCTTTGAAGCAAGATGTGGTGAGGTATGTGAGAACCACCATAATAAGCTCATTATTGCAAATTGTCGATTGGGTGCTGTTCAATCACTGCATAAACATTGTAATTGTAGATATCCTGCTTGAGGCTTTTAGGGGATCAAACGCACTCCACGCGGATTGCTTTTGTTGAATTCTTCATGGTATGTAATATCATTTACTTATACGATTGCTGCTATATATATATATATATATGTCTGTTTTGGTGGGACCTAAAAGCAATTGAAGTGAACCGTGGTTCATTTGTGAATACTTAAAAATATAATTTATCGATGGAATCACAAATGGGGCATTTCTTCCAATCTTTTCTCTTTCAATATATACAGCTAATCTTTAATGTGCATATACTTTTTCTACCTAGTTTGATACTTGCTTTGGGGAAAAAAAAATTAATTCCAAATATTACTTTGTTGTCCGAAGTTTGAAGACTGCCGGCCTTCTTAGGATTACTCCCAAGTGTTTGCTCAAATACTTGCTTGTCTAAACTTGGAATTGTTTGCATACCACATCAGTTAGTCAACAGTCCAGGTTTAAAATTGTCGAAGATCTTTGTGGCATTGAAGTTCCCCAGTTGATTCCATGCTATAGGAAAATCTTGTTCCTATAATATGAGATGCAAAAGTTTGCCATGGCCAAAGTAATTCTTGGTCAAAGGGAAAAACTTAGGTTATATTGCATGTCTTGATTCTTACAGTACAACTAACAGGAGTTTAGGTTGGAAGGAATATGAAGTTTTTCTCATACTCTAAAACTACTTTTGCAGGCTGAAAGTGCAATAATTGCCCTTGATTGTTGTGGAGAACTTTTGGGTACACATCGCATCAGGTACATTTTATTTTTGCTTGAGTGAATTGTATATATAGCACCTATGATAGCAAAATTGCGTAAGTATTCTAAACAAATTTTTATTTTGTAACTATTATGATCTTATGCGCAAATATAGTGAACTATGCCATAAAATTTACACGATATAGTATATGTATTTATGTTAAAACACAGATTATGCATATGCAATTTACCCTTTCTTATCCGACTAGTATAGCCGTCTTAACAAATTTCACTGTATTGCAGGGTTAGCCCTTCGAAGACACCGGTCAGGCCAAGGGTTTACCGCCCGGGGGCACAGTAAAAAAATCGGATATCCGGCGGGGAAGGACAACAGGTATCTCTTATCCTGAGAGAAGAGTGAGAACTTAAAAATATGAAGTTAGAGGGGGGATTTTACTTGAGCATTGATTCTTTTTCCCCACTTGAGGAGACGATGAACGATTTTCTTCCTTTTTTTTTTTGTTGATTATAAATTATTGTTATTGCAACCGAGTATGGCAGTGTTGGATGTTCTACTGCAATTGTTCTAAATTCGGATGTTTTATGACAATGAATGGTTCCTGAGATGCTGTTTAGTCATTCGCCCATGGCTGCTTTAACATTGAGTAAAGGTGCATAAGTAAGAGCATATAGTGACCCTCTCTTAGCAATGTCCTCGATTGGCTGGATAGGGTTGGGAAAAAAGTCGACTGAAATACCGAACTGCTACTGAATCGAATCGAATTTTCGGTTAATCGAGTAAATTCGGTTCAAATACAAATACTGCATATTTGATATTTGTTTTGTTTGGTTCGGTTAATCGAACCGAATATATTTATATTATTATTTTTTAAATTTATATTAATAATTATATTCGGTTTCGGTTCGATTTGGATATTTGAAATATTTATAAATATTTTTATTTAATTAGAAATTTAATTATTTTCTAATATATATTTCGGTTCGATTTGCAAATATTTTTTGTTAACTGAAATTTTCGGTTCGGATACAGTTTGCAATTTCGATTATTTGTTCGACTCTTTTCCCCTTTGCTCTCTTTCTTTCTATTGCCTCCGATTTTTATTCCTTTTGTAGCTTGCTCTTTCATCAATTATATATATACAAGATTTCGACCTTCATTTTTAATGTCTTTTTCGCTATAATTTATTCGACTCTCAAAAACAAATTGAAGTAGAGAAAGTGAAAAGTTTGGAGAGAGAACTCGATTTTTTTGGGGGCGTAGAGATCGATAAGAAAGTCCACAAGAAATGGTTTAAGAAATAAGTTTGTTTGTTTTTTTTTTTTTTTTTTTTTTGCCATTGTAGACGGATTGAGGGTAAGCAAATAAACGATCATAAGACTTTTTGTTTGAATTAGAGAAAGAACAAAATAATGATATACTTTATAGCGATAGTCAAAGTGCCCTTCATTTGACTAAAAATCATACATTTCATTTAAGAACAAATTGCAACTTATTAAAATTAAGTAGTGCATGTTGACTAATATTATGACTTTAGAGAAGTTGAAACTATGTATAATTTCAATGAGCCTTAGGCTGTGTTTGTTTGGGTTGGGATTTGAATAGTAAAAATTTTGAATTTAAATAGTTGTATGATGTGATATAAATAAGTGTTGATGTGATGTTTTGAATGTAAAATTGATTTTTAGTATAATATAAAAAATGAAAAATAGGTGTTCGATTCGATGGTTTTGGGGGAAAAAAAATTGGATGAATAGTGTAAATCAATCCAATCCCCCGAACAAACACACTTAGAGTATAAGAAGACAAGACTTGAGATTGTCATATGTTGTAGTGAATTGTGAATATGAAATATACAATCAATCTTCAAATGGAATTTGAGATTGGTGAATTGTGAAATTTTATTAAAGCTATAAGTCTAAGTACGAGGTTTTGTATACACATTATGTGTGTGAGGATAGGAGAATAGAGTTTATTTTTAGAGATTTGTATTGTCATGGATCAATAATTGGTTTACGCTATATATATGTATATATTATGGCGTTCTATTATGTAATCATTATAATTCTTTATAGTAAAAACTTGTCATTAATATCAATCGAGCAGCTTACCATATACAAATCATTAATAAGAAATTCTCTGTATAACAAAACCAATTAATTTAATATTACATTCATGATTCATCATCCAAATTTATGCTTAAAAAAAAAAAAAAAAAAAAAAAAAAAGAAAGCTAAGCTCTTCTACAAAAACAAAACGAGAAAAAAGGGAAAGGAAAGCAAGAATTAATTAATCAAATTGCATGCATTAATTCATGCAACTTAATTAAACTAAATTAAAACTGCATAAAGAAAAGGTGGCGGAATTGATCGTCTTGAACGCCGCCGTCTAGTACCGGCGGCAGATCGAAGAACGATGCCGCCTCCGTCGGCTGTGGCTGCATTGGTGGGGGAATGGTGGGCGGCAGCGGGCGATTGGCGGCGGCGGCGTGGTTTCCGGTGAGGGTTTGGACGACGGACTTGAAGCTGAGAGCGTCGGTTTCGACATACTGAGTCTCGATAATTACAACCTTAACTGCACCCTCCACACCCATATATCTCTATCTGTAATGACCAATAATTAATTTCCAACCTCCGATGATTGATATGAATTAATACTCCTATTTACAGAGCCATGCATTTATATATATCTATATATATATATAGATGTATCTATGAGATGGTGAAGAGAAGGAGGAGTGGAGCCGCCGTTGGGGTTTGACCGTTGGGGAATCAACTTAGAAGTTGACCGTTGTTGACTAATTGTTTCTTATAGTATGATTGATTAATTGATCGAGTCAAACTACCCACCGATCCGGAATTGTAAGTAATTTCCACCTAAGTGTCCATTTTTTTAATTTTATTTATGTCAATTTTACTTAATTCGTATTTTTTTAAAAAATATAATTAATTCTATGATATTTTAAAATTTATAAATTTTTAATATTAATTAAACTATTTAATTTGCAACGATTACGTAATGGAACAGTTAGCCCATGAAAATATTACACAAGGAATTATACACTTTGGTGTTACTAAAACAATGGCACATAAAATATGAAAAATAAATAAATAAACAATTGCAATAATAATGCAAAATCTCAATAGACAACTCTTATCCACAATTTAAAGATACTGAATACAACGATGGATTCAACATTAACTTAATGTTTCAACCACCAAACAACTCGGAGACAAATGTAAGTGAGTTGAGATGGTTCTAAGTGTTGGATTTTTTGTCCTTATGGTCCACCCCAAATAAATACACAAATACACACTCGTCTCGCAGCCCGAGCGCATTCGGGCCTGGCCCATGTCCCGACCTCACTGTCCGTCCGACTGCGTCCCAACTTAGCGACCTGTCCGACTTCACCAACCGCTTGACTACTTCCTGATTCAGAGATCTGTCCTGAGTCGGACCATCCGTCCGACTCCGTCCGACTTCGTCCGACTTGGACCATCCGTCCGACTCCGTCCGACTTGGACCATCCGTCCGACTCCGTCTGACTTCGTCCGACTTGGACCATCCGTCCGACTCCGTCCGACTTCGTCCGACTTGGACCATCCGTCCGACTCCGTCCGACTTCGTCTGACTTCGACCACCCGTCCGACTTCGTCCGACTTAGACCATCCGTCCGACTTCGTTCGACCTCGACCGTCCGCCCAACTTAGTCCCAGCTTGTACCGTCCGAAGTCATATCCACTGTCCGACCTTATACCTCCCGACCTTGACCCACGTACTGATCCGACCAGACTAGGATCCGCGTCTTTTTCTTAGCCACGTCCCTGGCCGTCCGATCTGGGGCTTTGATCCTGTCCGTCCATTCGACCTGTATATATATATATATATACTTGGAGTGTGAGAGAAGAAAAACAATTCATTTGATACATCACCCACTCTCTCTCAAAAAGCTTACCCTCTCTAGCCTCTCTCTCTCGATTTTTTCTCTCGCTCTCTCATCCGACGGCGGTTCACGGCGGTTGTTTGTGCAGTGCCTTTCCTCCTGTGTCTGTGGAGTTCCTTTGGCACCTGTTTCCCCCTGTGTGTGTGTTGTTCGTAGCCGAAAGGGGCTCGTTCAACTGTAGGCTTGTGGTTTCTGTTTCCTGTATGCCTGTTACTGTTACTGTGGGGGTGTTTTGTGGTTGTGAGTCGTGGTGTTGTGGCCGGTGTGCTTGTGTTAGTCGCGATTCGAGTGTGTATGTGTATATTTTGTGTTTCGAGTGGTTAGGGGCTGAGCCTAGCCAAAACGAGTTAAAGTTTTTGTTCGATTTTCTTAATAAAGAATTTGATCCTTTTCCGCAATTTTAAATAACAAGTGGTATCAGAGCTCTGTATGCCTTCTTCGTTCTTTTGAGAAAATCGTTTTGTTCTTCTAAGTTTCAGTTAGTTTGTTACTAAACCGGTGTATTTTTCCTAAAAACGGTTTTGTTTTTCAAACTTTCTTTGTTAAACAAAGTATAAGTCAGGATAATCTGCCTCTGTGTGGTTTTAGATCTGTTAAAATTGTTTGGATCTCTTTACTGTGGAGTCAAATTCAAAAGTTTTTCGAAAATATTAAAAGTTTTTTGAAAAAGGTTCTTTAATATTCAAACTGTTCTCGTTTGAAAATTAGTGATAAGATCTGTAAGCCTGTCAGCCAGTCTGTTTTTGCATTGTTGTGTCGGATCTGTGGAGAACACTTTTTTTTGGGTATTAATTTCGGTGATTCTAACTTTTGGTTAGAAGAGAAACAAATTCTTGTAACTTTTTGTTTCTTGGAAATTAACCATTGCTAACCCCTGTTCTCCAAAAAGGAGAATAGGCTGTTTTTTGTTCTCTGTTCCTATTTTTTGTAGGAATATTATTTTTGTTGTTGCTGTGCTTCAAGGGTAATCTCTAAAACTCATCTTATACAATTACTGTTTTGTGTATGATGATATAGTTAGGTTATATCTTGTGATTAATTCTTTGCCTGCTGTGATTATCTGTTGTGTGTGATAATCTGCATTTTCTTGCACGACAGTGTGATATTTTGCCAATTTTTTTTGTTTCTGTTTTGTGTGAAAATTAGAAAATAATTTTCTGAAAACTAAGTAATATTTGACTGAAAATCTGTTTTTTCAATATAAATAAAATGGCTAGTCATTCTGGTTTTAGTATTCAACCTTTTGATGGAAAAATGGATTTTGCAATTTGGAAACAAAAAATGAGAAGTATTTTAGTAACTCAAAGGTTGATTAAAGCAGTGGAGCCTGATCATTCGATTCAAGTTCCTCTTGAGAGGAGGGTTGAATTGGATGAAATTGCTTCATCTACTATAATCTTACATTTGGCTGATCATGTAATTAGAAAAGTAGGCAAACAAGAATCTGCTTTGGCATTATGAGACAAATTAGATGAACTATACACTCAAACATCATTACCAAGCAGAATGTATTTGTTAGAAAAATTTTTCAGTTTTAAACTTGATTTATCAAAATCAATTGAAGAAAATCTGGATGTTTTTTCTAAACTAATACAAGATATTAAACTTACTGGTGATAAAAACATTGATGATTATAGTGCTATAGTTTTATTGAATGCCATACCTAACTCATACTCTGATGTAAAATCAGCCATTAAATATGGGTGTGATTTTATTTCATTAGATGTAGTTATTAATGGTTTAAAATCTAAAGAATTAGATTTACAAACTCACAAGTCAAGTAAGGGTGAAATTATGTATGTTAGGGGTAGGTCACCTTTTAGATCAAATAAGAAAAATAATTTTGGTAGTAACAAAAACCAAAATAATAATAATAAAAATAGATCTAAAAGTAGAAATAAAAACAGATCTAAAACTCCTAATAAAGGGGGTAGAAGATGTTTTAATTGTGGTGACCCAAATCATTTTATACGCGAATGCCCTAAAAGAAATAAAAATTACAGTAATGATAACAGTAACAATAGTCAAAGACAGCAAACTTGTGAAGTAGCCAATATGACATTGCTTGATAAAATGTGTGATGATGTTTTTGCTGTTAAGACCGACTGTTCAAATGTGGATATTTGTGCAAATGAATGGCTTATAGATTCTGGTTGTACTTATCATATGACTCCTTTAAAATCAATTTTTAGTGAATACAAAACCTTAGAAAACTGCACTGTTTCAATGGCTGACAACAGTGTATCCAATGTTCTTGGAATAGGAAGTGTAAATTTAAAATTTAGCACTGGTTTTGTATTGAAACTAAATAATGTGAGGCATGTTCCTGGTTTATCAAATAACTTGTTATCTTGTGCTGCTTTGTCCGATTTAGAATTAGAGGGTAAATGGGGGAGTAATTGCATGAAAATTACTAAGGGGTCCTTAGTCGAGTTTAAAGCTGAGAAACGTAATAATCTGTATGTTACTTGCGCTGAACCAATAAATGTGCCTGTAAATTCTGTAAATTCTGTTTTAGAGAATAGTGATTTGTGGCATAAACGACTAGGACACTTAAGTAATAGAGGTCTAGAAATTTTACATAAAACAGGCTGTTTTGGAAATGTAAAATTTGAACCTGTTGCTTTTTGTGATAACTGTGTTTATGGTAAACACCATAAAGTGCACTTTCCCCAAACTCCCAATAATAACAACAGAATTTTTTCAAAACAAATACTAGACTATTTACATGCTGATGTGTGGGGCCCAGCTAGTGAGCCCACACAAGGAGGGTCTAGGTATTTTTTGTCCATTATAGACGATTTTTCAAGAAAAGCATGGGTTTTTCTGTTAAAAAACAAATCTGATGTGTTTGAAACTTTCAAAAATTGGAAAGTTAAAATTGAAAATCAAACTGAAAAGAAAATAAAATGTCTTAGGACTGATAATGGCTTAGAATTCTGTAATTCTTGGTTTGATATGTTTTGTCAAGAAAATGGTATTAAAAGGCATAAAACTGTCCCCTACACACCCCAACAAAATGGGGTGGCTGAGAGGATGAACCGGACTCTCTTAGAGAGAGTTAGAAGCCTTTTGGCTTCTTCCGGTTTATCCAAGAAATTTTGGGGTGAAGCTGTTGTTACAGCAGCTTACATAATAAATAGATCACCTTCGATTCCATTAAATGGTTTGTGTCCTGAATTTAAGTGGACCGGTAAAAATGTTGATTTTTCAAACCTTAGGGTTTTTGGGTGTTCTGCCTTTATACGTACTAATAATGACAAGTTAGACCCTAGGGCTGAAAAGTGTATCTTTCTAGGGTACCCGGAGGGAGTTAAGGGGTATAGACTTTGGATAAGGTCTAGGCCCGGTTTTAAGGCCATTATTAGTAGAGATGTTGTGTTTAATGAAAATGAAATGCCATGCTTAAATGTTGAAAAATCTGTGTGGGATAAAACTGAATCAAATGTTAAAAATGTAGATTCAATTGGTACACCAAATGAGGTGGAGTATAATTCTGAGCATAACTCTGTTGATATTAGAAATGATGGAAATTATGATAGTCTGTCTGATGTTCATAATGAAATTACTCCTGAAAATAATTCTGAAATGAATTCCAATGTGCCTGAAATTGATAATTCTGTTGAGAATAATAGTAATTCTGATTTTGATAGAAATGATCAAAATGAACTAGAAAATTATCAATTGACTAGAGATAGGGATAGGA